TAACGCGATACACGCCTCGAGCTCCCCTTTCATCGCGAGAAGCGAGACCTCTCTCTCTGTCCGTCGTGAGGTGTCCATCTCAAGGTCACTCCTCAGGATGCCATTCCCGCGGCACTGCCGTCGCCGCAACGCAGTATTCGCGAACCGAGGTGCGTTGCACTATCAGTGGTTCTCCAGGCTGTTACGAAACGTTACGTATTCGCATATTCTCGCGTATTTCTTCTCCCTTCGAACTTCGTCCTAGTTGGATCATCGCATATGACTTGTATTTTTTATTTAATACATGAAATGGAAAATAAATGTTGCTTGTTAAATTAAAATTAATATTATTTTTAAAAAAATTATTTTTTATATAGTTTACTGTCGTGATCCTACTTGAAATGTTGCATTCCGGGTTGAAGTTGGAAACGCAATGATCTCGGTGATTTTTCTACATGCGCAATCCGAGGGTCGTGAGTGAGCACCTTGGACGCGAACGCTATGATTAGCGATTACAGCATCGCGATGTTAGTCACAATGCGATTCCTGCGTATGTGCATCGCGACACGTACGCTCTATCGTCAAACGATATCGATTGTTGTGACAGTACGATGGCTTTATGCGGTATGCTAATGACGACAGTCTTCGCAGTCGCAATTAAACATACGTTTCCATCTACGCAGCGTCACGCGGAGAAGATTTTTTTTCTCGCGAATGTTTGATCCTTGTACACATTCCTTATTTCTGGCTGTACCGAATAACAGCCCGCATGAAATATTTCAGATTTATCGAGTCATTTATTTACATTCTAGAATCCTATTCTTAGCGTTTAGAAAAAGGCGAAGAGTTCCGTCTAGCTTGAAATAAAATTATCAATAAAATATGCAGTGTCAGACAGTTGGTAAAATATTACATTTCTTTTATTTTATACGTGGATATTTGATTATTAGTGTAATCGATTTACGAGATAAACGAAAGGTTTTTATAGCGTCGCGTGGTAATGATTGTGGCATGAGATTCCGTAGATAAAAAGAATGATCGCACGCTCCGCAAAAAATCTGAGACGCGAGGGAGTTAATGAATATTAATCAATCTTCATAAATGCATAGAGAGGTATTGCACAACGCTACAAAATTATCCAATTATTCGTTTAATTTGCAGTTAACTTGTCATAAATATGTATATATCATTTAAGTTTCACCTGTTACTGACACAGTCAATACGCATCGGGAATAAATTAAATTAGTTCAATGATCGTAACAACTAATCGATTAATAATGACATTAATAATGAAATTAAAGATTCAATACATTTTATTAGGATTAGATTGATATTGGGAAAGAATGCATAAGGTTTACGATATAAGATTCATCACAACAACGTAAAGTTGCTTTGCAACATTCCCTTCCGGGGATATAAATTTAGAGTCAAAGGAGATAGATAATTTTTTTTTATTTTGACGATGATACGTTCAAGTTATTAATGAAGTAAAATTTATTTTAAATAATCGGCGAATTAGTAAAAAAAATAAGCGTGAAATTATTTTATGCGAAAAAAAATTTAATGTAAAAGAGAGAAATTATGATCTAATCAATGAAAAAACTATAAACATCTAAAATAGAAATTACAATTAAATATTAATATCCCATGTGTGTGTGTGTGTGTGTGTATATATATATATATATATATATATATATATATATATTACGCAGAAGTTGTATGCCTGAGTGTAATAAATCCGTCCCAAGTATTCCAGTTTACGGTCGCCTTCGGCTTCCGCGAATTACTCGTTAATGGCAGTTACATCATTAACCGAGCTTAATTGTGAGAGCTCGGGGTATCGACATTCCGAGAGGCAACCTTTAAGATCATCGATTTTTCAAGACGATCTGTCGCACCTGCTCCGTTTCGTGCCGCCGCGTTCGATTTTATTTCTCTCCTCTTTCGTGAACGCGAGCCCCAACACCGGAAGGATCTCAAACCGGACTACACGCTCGAATACAAATCGAGAAGGAAGTCGTTCTTTACCTCACGAGAGTTCCGCCCTGTCGGAGCTCGAGCACCTCGAAGCGGCGGCTCCAATCGCGCGACGGCTTTCGGTCGATAAAACGCGCACGGACGATGGGCCGCCGTTTTATTAGAGCAAAGTCTTTATCTCCACGACACGGGTCACGGGGAAAATGTCTCGCACCCCGCGTGCCGGCGTTTTCATTAGTATGCTCGCCGAGACACCCGCGTACCCTTCCTTACCTCGCGACATCTCCGTGGAGATGCGAGAGGGCTCGCCGAACCGTCCCTCTCCGAGCCCTTTGCGAAGCGTCGCCGTAACAAGACACGTGCTATGCAGATGTCGCGTCCAAGAGACACCCCCCTCGGCGGGACGCCGCCCGTGATTTAGGCTAATTACGCGTGCGACCGGCGGCCGAGTAGATTTCTCCTACCGGCCGTACATCTCCGTACATTCTATCGGAATATAACGCGACGTCTAGGTAGCACATGCCTGCACGCTCGGATAAGTGCGATTGTAACTTCAGGATCGCAGGTGAGCTGGCACGCCAATTTTCGTTACATTTCATTTTTTTCCGCTTCGAACACGACCAGGTCGAGCCAATAAAACGAACACGCACGTGAGCGAACAACTCGCTTAATAAATGCGAATGGCACTCGCAGATCGTAGTCGTTTGCTCATAATCCTTTTCACATGTATACTTTCTACATTTTATTTCCTTCGAGCGAAGGAAATGCGAATATTCGAGAACCGTAGCCGCAGCATCCCGTCCGTTGAATCTCCCAATCGATTCAGCTTTCGGCTGATCTTTCATTAAGAGGAATTAATCTTGCGAGCGGCGAGCCGGCGTCAGCGCGTTAAGCGCGTTAAATATTTCGATTGTCGGATCTCAAATCGCGAAGCCCCGGGCGAACGGATTGGGACGGGAACTCCGGGGTACCTCGTATTTGTATATGATGGATATAGAGGTGGCTGCTTATCGTGCGAAATACATACGTATACGGATACGCATCGAGCGGACGCGAATAGATGTGATAATTCCCTCGTACATGCAAATGCGGCCGCACATAGCGCGTACATACCGGCGATATGCGTGCGCGGCGTGCATATACGCGTATGCACAATACATATATGTATGCGCAACGGCGAAATTACGCCGGTCGTACTAAATACCGATCCTTGACTGCGCGTATAATTATCTCTGCGTATCGGTCTTGTGTGCTCGCTCTTCGCGGCAATATACGGCGCGGCTACACGGGAGCGTGCGATATACGCGATATATATCTCGACGATTTTAGTAGACCGTGCGGTCTATCAACGGAGGAAGCGACTCCACACCTGTGCATTTGCATAAGTGTCTGTCGTCGTCCGTGTTCTACATGCGGATTCAGGTACCGCGGTTAGCGGACAAGCACGGTCTAATCGCGCGCCGTCTTACACACGATTTTACTCGCGTTCGAGAGAAGCGATGCCCTTTTTTTTTACGACAGGATCGACCGACCCTGGAACGGTGCGGCTTTGATTAAAATACGGCGAGCGATATATACAGCGACGCGGCAGGTTGACGATGTTGGAATCTCTCGCAGGATTCGAGTACGCGCACGTATAACGTATGTGTGTCTCGAGATACAAAGTCGTGCAACTAGATTACGAGGGTTCGATAGCCGGCGGGATCGAAGGGTCATCTGTGGAACACCGTCCGCATACGGTGGCTTTTAACCCTCGGCCCTCTTTTCCCTCTTCGCTCCGTTCTCGTCGCGATGAAATATAGAAGAACGACGACCAGTTCACATCATCGCCGGAACGACAATCATCGCTTGGCTATCGAATGCCTTTCCTTCCGAAACGTAATTTTTGCCCACTTCGCGATATTTTATATCGAAAGGCGTTACGCGATTATTTTATTACGAATTCCTTCCCAAAGTGACCAAGGCTCGGTTGCATTAATTGTTATTTTGACTTTAAGCGAGACTTAAATATGTATCTGTTTTTATCTTTCTTTCTAAGTAAAAAAAGATAGACATGTATTTGAGTCGCTATTTAAAGCCAAAATAACGTTAGTGCAACGGACCTTAATCAAAAGCCCTTGATCGTTAACTTAATCATGGACTAACGATTTCGCATTGAAATTTGATCGCTTTTAGATCCAACGATCCATTTTGAAAAATGATGCCACACGCATTTCGCGGCGGAGAAAACGGGCGGCACGATGACAAGAAAATAAGAAAGGAAGAAACGTTGATAGCGAAATGATTACTGGGCGGGCGCGCATGCAATTTCGTACCGTTTTATAGCCCTCATAATATTTTTACCGCGGCCCGCGTGTGCGCAATTAACGAGTTAGCTACTGTGTAATCACGCGTGTCGTTAAGGTGTCTAAATAAGTCCGGAGACCGACTTTGGCGTTAGCCGTGTCCCGTTCGACAGACGATCCGGTGTTTAAAGCCGATTTAAGCGGGCAACTTGTTATTACATCGCCGATGCGAGATGCGCGCCGCGGCGATCGCGTCGTAAAAAGGAAAAGTAAGCGCGAGATGCGCGCGCGAAAAACTCACCGTGTTAAACACCAGTTACATTTCGCCGTTATGTTTACCTGACACTTGTATATTAGCCGCGACGATAAGCACGCCTTGACAGATGCGCCGGCGACGTGTATTAAACATTCATCCGTGCCGAGTCTGTATTTACAAGAAACATCTCAATTCTCTACTCGAGATCTCTTTCCTCCACGAACGATATTGCGGACGAAAAAATAGATAAATAATAATATCCGTAACGAAATTAGTAAGTAGCTCTTTGTTAATAAGAGAGAGCTGTCGATATATCATATCCCACTCCAAGTTATTTTTATTCTCATGCGAACGCTCGAGTTCAACGTAAAACAAACGAGCTGTATTAAATTCGAAATGCGCTTTATATTCCTGAGTTGAAATTTATATTATAGCGTATAGTTTTTATCCTCACGAGAATGGACGAACTATAATGCGAAATCTCCGTTTTCGTTTTGTTGCAGGTGTCGGCGGGTCAGCATATGCAGCTCACGGGCGACCTGAAGCCGGTCGTGTCCGTCGCGGCGCAGCAGGGCATGTACTTCAATCAGCAACAGCCGCAGAATCAGGCCGGGCCGTCGGCTAATCAGGCCGACACCTACTGCTCGGTCTCGCAATCTCAGACCATCAATTTCACTCAGCAGAGTCTGAGGCAGCGGGCGGCGGCCGCGGCCGCCGGCGGTGTGCCGCAACCGGGTGCTGCCGGCCCGGGGACGCGGGCCCATCCGCAGCAGGTGCCGCCGGGCCAGGTCGACCAGCATCAGCACGCGAAGCTCCTTCAGCAGCAGCAGCAACTGATGCGCGCGCAACAGGTAAAAACGAGCCCCCGAGTCCTTGCCTCGTCTCTTTGCGCCGGCGGATTTGCTCCCGGATGTTTTACACGCGCGTATCTCGCCGCGATTCTTGGAACAAGTTTCTCGAGGACGGAATGTGTCGACGGTGACACGTGTCGACACGTGTCTCGCTGCTCGCCCGATTTCGCCATCTAGATTTTCATTCATGGCGCAACGGCGAGAGAGAGAGAGAGAGAGAGAGAGAGAGAGAGAGAGTGACGAAA